GTCACGGTAAATCAGCTGATCGCTGGAGAACTTGGGGGGGGGGATATGAAGTGCGGGAAGGGCGTCGGAGTCGTGCGGCGGATAGCAGAGCGAGCGGACGGACTTCGATGGTCAAGAGTGGAATCGCCGAATTGATAAGTTAACCTTAGAATAAGATGTTAAAGAATATGTTCTAACTTTCAGTAAAGGGGGGATTAAGGGGTTTAGGGAACTATAATTTTATTTCAGCTTAATATGTAAATTATACCTTGAGCACACTCGTACCCTTAAGGTACGAGTGGAAGTTTTCAGTGTTCTTTTCCTTATTATATTTAATTAGAAGCATTAGAAATTATTAGATCATCAAAATGGCTGTGATATGGATGTGGTTTGGCTCAGTAATTAATTTTAGATCTTTATTATTCAACTCAGAATGTCGCTAGAAACACTAGATTGATTATATTGAGCCTTAACGATCCTTATGAGTCCAGTACCGTTACTATAAAACTATAGTAACACGCTTCATACTTGACCATAAACATAAATTAGATTTTTTTTATTGTTACTTCAATTGAAGATATATTTCCTCAGTTGTAATTACGTAATCCTATATGTTTTGGTCTAAGAACCTTCAGTGAAATACCAGCTTTCATTTGAGCCCTTGATTATTAAGATCGGACGTACCTGAAGCGCGCTGCTGAATTCCAAACAATAAAAAATGTAATTATTTTGGGATTTACCGACGACCAGTGAGTTCGTTTGGCTCTTCTACCCAACCGATTTTAATGATTGAAGTCTCAAATTGAAGGAATGCACGCACAGATTTGCCATCAATCGTCGACATATATTTATCTATAAACTCTGCTTATACGTAAACGAAATTTGCTCCCCGTGTATTTCTTATGGGAGTTAAATTTGGTTTTTCTTTGCCGAGTTCGTTTGGCGCTTCTACCCGACCTATTTTCTTGATAGAGGTATCAAATTGAAGGTATGCACGCACAGATTTGCCATCAAGCATCGGTATATATTTATCTATAATCCCACTCTGCTTATACGTAAACAAAATTTGTTCCCCATGTATTTCTTATGGGAGTTAAATTTGGCTTTTCTTTGCCGAGTTCGATTGGCTCTTCTACCCGACCGATTTTCATGATTTAGGTCTCAAATTGAAGGTATGCACGCACGGATTTCACATCAAGCATCGGCATATATTTATATATAATCCCAGTCGGCTTATACGTAAACGAAATTTGCTCCCCATACATTTATCATGGGATTTAAATTGGTTTTTCTTTTCCGAGTTCGTTTGGCTCTTCTACCCGACCGATTTTCATAATTTTAGGTCTTAAATTGAAGTCATGCACGTAAAGATTTCACATCAAACATCGAAATATATTAACCTACTGTAATATTTGACCAAAAACATAATTCCTTCAGTGAAATAACTGATTTCATTTAAGCTATTAGTTATTCAAATCGGACGAGTTTCTAGCAAACGCAAGAAGAACAACCAATATAAAAATAAGGATTTTCTATGACAAAAAATCAATATCTCCAGCATTGTTCATGTTTTTTTTAAATATGTTTTAGACTCATAATAATCAGTAAATTGTAATCTTTGATTTGAGCTATTGATCGTGTGTGAATCAGTATCAAGATACTGTATTACTCAATCAAAAATCTTAAATTTTATTCTTTCTCGAATACTATATTTATTTTAACGCTGCGGAGCAGCATGGGTCCTCTAGTAATGATGAAATTGCTATATTTAAAAAAGAATTGATTTTTTCTGTAATTTAGTTCGAACGGTCTAATTTCCACAAAAGTTGAACCGTACAATATTTAATTGTTTCTAAGTCTAAGTTCTAAGTTTGATTTGTTTCAGGAATTAATCTCTTTACAGGAATTGAGAACAATTCTAATTTTATTATAACCAGAAGAATTGTAAAACTATTAGGTAGCTGTAAGGACCGTGAAGTTGAACTAGGAAAATCATGCTAGAACTGGAATAAAATAGACATCAGACAATAATGACTCACTAAACAAAGTATCTGCTTACCGAGTGTGTCTTATCAAATCAGTTTATCATAAGTCGACTGTTGTACTTTTTTTTAACAGAACAGCGATTGTATAGCAAAAAGTGAAACGAAACCGGACTGTGAATACTAATAGCTAGTTACCTACCTATCTAGTGAGAGGTTTCTTGTCCCTTAACCCACCTTGCATTGTTGATATAAACTTGTATTGTTTGATATAAACTTTATTATTCAGACATGACACTAATAGGTAAAGTGAAACAAAGTAAAGTGAGCGATATAGGTTAGGGGTGAAAACTTTACCTCAATCAGACTCACAGATAGAATTGAAGGAGCGGCAGCTACAATTAAAAATGTTTTTGAAACAACCTCCACGGCATAATATGTAGTATTTAAGTAATATTTTATTTAACATAAAAACAATTACAGCCATCAATCTAGTTGAACTCCACTCACTGACCCTGTACCCTGTTGATCAAAGCTGAATACAATTCATTCCCGTATAGTTAATGTACATTTCATTACAAAATAGTTTACAAGTGCTATTGGTTTTTTACAAGTGCTTAACCATCAATTTAAATTTATTTAAAGGAAATAGTTTCTGGCTATTGGACTCCTTGCTGCTTTTCATTGGTGGGACTGACTGAGCTTTCCTACCTCTAAAACTAAAACAATAGTTAGTTATACACTAGTGCAAACAAAATTAGTACCTCAAGTCTTTAGTCTTCTCTATGGAGATATAAATGGACAAGATAATACCTCCGCCGCAGCAAACCTGCAGACTAAGCGAATTTCCATTTGCCTGATTGGATTTACACTAAAATGTCTTCTTAAAAATATCACATTTATTCCCTATTTAAATAGAATCAGTTTAACACATACTTAGGTTTGCTGCAACAGGGAGGGTAAAAGTGTTTTTTTAATGTAAAATGTTAATAGTTAGTAATTTAGAAATAAAAAGATTTTCCAAATTTGATCAAAATATGTTCATAAACAAGCAAACTACAACAGTTTACTTATTCTCCATAAGAATAACATGGGAATTTTAAATTTACAATTTTTTGGAATTTTCTCCGTAACCATTAGGCGCATAATAACGCTTCAATATACTAAATTATTTGTTTTTTTAAGCTCTACAAAATGGTTTGGAAAGAAATTGCTAAATTTTATGTTTTTTCGGTCAAAAATGCGAAAAACCTATTTTTACCCGATAAAACCCCGTTCCCATGGTCCGATCATGCTGGATCGCGAACTCGTTCGAATAAACGTAGGTTTACACGTTTGTACTAAATTTCATCAAAATCGGATCATTTTTGCTTGAGTTATCATGCTAACGGACACACATATATATATATATTAAGTATGATTGTGGTTAGGGCTACTACTATATAAATAATTGAAAACATTATAAAAACATAAGTTGTTAGATAGTTTTTTATTATAGTATGTTTTAGTGGGCTGAATGCAGATTTAATATGCATTGGAACAATGATTTGGTATAATTTAATAATTACTAGTGTACATGTTGCTCGAATTCGAGCAATTACAAAGTATTACAGGAGTTATTTCAGATTGAATAACAGTCATATTTACAATGAGTTTAAGAGAGTCGACTCAAATATTACCGTTGTGTAACTCAGACCCCGTTTATCTTCGTTATTGATAAACCTAAAGCATTCCGGACGGTTCTCTCCTTCTCAAAATGCCTCGCTGTACAGGCAACACAGGTCATTAATAGAGGGCCAATTGAGAACGAAAAGTCGTTTTGGGGTAGTGTTAGGGCGCATTTGTAACCAAATAGTTGAAGTTGTCCAGGTTCAGGTTCAGACTGTGATGAGTTAAGCCTATTACGCGCCACTGTTCTGTATAGCTGCGGTCGTTATCACGTTTGCGCCCCCTGTCTTTGTTTCGTTGTCGTTGCGTCGGAGACATTTAAAAGAAATAAACAACAAATAATAAACAAATTATAGCTACACAAAACAACGATAAATGCACAAACTTAAGTTACAATCATGCTAACACAATCCATCATAGCGACACAAAACAACGATAAATACACAAATTTAAGATACGACCATACTATAGTCCTCGCCACCCTATGAGGCAGCCAAAGGCCGCACGGCGTATATCTAGTGCGACCTTTGGCTGCCTCAACTTAGGGTGGCGAGGACTATAACACGATCCGTCTTGGGGGTTATGTTTACACAAACTCAAATAGTAAATAAATGTACTCAATGTGTTTCATTGAATTGAAAAGTAAATAACAGCAATAAAATTATACAGCTGATCAAAATGTAAACAATTATGTTCTTCATAAGGATAACATGGGAAGTTTCAAAGCCACTGGGGCAGAGCCCAAGGGACTTTTTCAAAAATGTAAGGTCAGTTTGCAAATCTAGGCAACACGCTCTTTCCAATGAGACGTCAATGGATAAAATCGGTTAGGAAATGGCGGAGGAGTTCAACCGACAAACTTTCGTGTAGCGTATTAATTATATAGATTCCGTCTTGGGGGTTATGTTTACACAAACTCAAATAGTAAATAAATGTACTCAATGTGTTTCATTGAATTGAAAAGTAAATAACAGCAATAAAATTATACAGCTGATCAAAATGTAAACAATTATGTTCTTCATAAGGATAACATGGGAAGTTTCAAAGCCACTGGGGCAGAGCCCAAGGGACTTTTTCAAAAATATAAGGTCAGTTTGCAAATCTACGCGACACGCTCTTTCCAATGAGACGTCAATGGATAAAATCGGTTAGGAAATGGCGGAGGAGTTCAACCGACAAACTTTCGTGAAGCGTATTAATTATATAGATATTGATCAGCTGGTTTATTGGTTTCAAAATAAATGTAATGAAAAGAACATGAGTTTTATTAGCTAAATAATCTTATCTATTAATTTTGAACATTGGTGCCGAAAACCCTTAGGAATCAACTAAATGTCAAATAAAGGAATTGTTACAAGGTCCAAAGCCAAAATGTCACTTGTAAGACAACAAGATGGTGAAGATAAATTAAGTGGTAAGTCAGTTCCTAACACAGCAAAATCTCACAAAACTAGTTCGAGTCAAAGTAGAAATAGAAGTGTTACAGAAGTTGTTGATGAGCTTATAAAGATACAGGAAGAGGAGACAGCTGTAATAATCTCTTATGCACAAGCAAATGCTTTAGCTGAAAAGGCTATGGCTGAGGCTGAGGCTGAAAAGGCTATGGCTGAGGCTGAGGCTGACAAAAGACTGGCTCAAGTGCAAGAAGAAGCCAAGCTGAAAGAAATAGAAGTCAAGAAGAGGTTACTTGAAGGTCGTCTTTCACTTCTCAGTAAGGGATCGTCTAGGGGTAGCAGTAAGTCATCACGGCGGACGCTCGATTCACTTCTACAAGAGCCAATATCGACTAAGGAAGGAGATGTTTTGTGTTCCCCTCAAGATATGCAACCTAAATCTCAAAGTTACACAAATAACAATCAGTTTGAATCAAATAGAAATGCAGTAGTAAATAAAGGATATTTAACCAACGATGAAAAGTCAGTTAGAAAGAAGATGCCTGCAACAGTTTTATCTACTCTACCAAGCTTCAGCGGAAATCTTGACCAATGGCCCGCTTGGATAGCTGAGTACAATCGTTCAACTGAATTGAATGATTACACGGACCTGGAGAATCTTCAGAGACTACAGAAGTCCCTGTCCGGAAAAGCAAAGGAAATGATTTCAGCCCTATTGATATATCCCGAAAACGTAAAAGAAATTATAAATTTGTTGGAAAAACGTTTCGGAAGACCAGAAATCATAATTAAGAACTTAATTGCAAGTGTGAGAAGTCGCCCACCTACAAAAGATTACAAGCCTGACACTTTGGTGACTTTCAGCGACATGGTGCGAAACTTAGTGGTGACAGTGAAGTCCTTGAAGCAAGATCATTATCTGTTCAACCCCCAACTGATGGAAGAATTGACGGATAAGCTATCCACCAACATGAAACTTAATTGGGGAATGCACGTCACATCACCACAGTCTCAAATAAAACATCCTGTCGGCCTGGACACCTTTTCAACGTGGCTTTCTTCTATGGCAGATGCAGCAACTGTATGTGCTGCTCCTAGTACATCATCTTTACCTGGGAACTACAAAAGTGCAACAAGTGGGAATTCAAACCAAAAAAACTATGTGCTTATCCAAGAAGAAAGTGACAAAAGACCTGGAAAGCGGATGTGTCTTTGCTGTAAGAAAAAAGAACATTGTTTAGAAGACTGCAAGCAGTTCTTAGAATATGATGTGAACAAGCGATGGGACACAGTCAAGAGTTGCGGTGTGTGTGTTTCAATTGCCTGAAAACGAAGCACCGAGCAGCAAAGTGCCGTAAAAGGGTTGCCTGTGGAGTGAACGGTTGTACCTACTCTCACCACAAACTGTTGCACTGTCTCACAAAGAAAGAAGGTGAGAACACAAAAAATCCTGAACCAACTGAAGTACAAACAGAGCACGTAGGTTACCAAGAGGAAGCGATAGCAAGGGTTCTCTTAAGAGTTCTCTCTGTAACTTTGGTGGGGAGAAATGGAGTTCAAATTGACACGTATGCACTTATTGATGATGGCTCTACCGTTTCCATAATTGAAAAAGATTTGGCAGAAGAACTTGGAATTGAAGGTCCTGAAAAACCTATATCGTTTTCATGGACAGATGGGTCTGTTTACACTGAAGAGCAGTCTCAAACCTTATCAGTGACAGTTCTTGGAGAAACAGGAGAAGAGTTATTACTGGACAATGTGAGGACATTGAGAGAGTTGCAGCTACCAACACAATCAATTAGCATGGAGAAAATGAAAAGAAAATGGTCGCATCTACAAGACATCCCAGAGGAAGTTTTCAGACGTGGTCGGCCAAGACTCCTCATTGGACATGAGCACATCCACCTGACAGTTCCTCTGCAAGTCGTGATCGGGCCTGCCAATGCACCTATTGCACTGAAGTCAAAGTTGGGATGGACAATTAACGGCCCCACTGGAAAAAGCACTTACCAAACTCGAGTCGATAAAGAATTTGTGATGTTTAAAAGCGAGATAAGTTCAGAGATGGAAGAGCTTAATTCGATAGTCAAAAGAAGTTTCGATACAGACTTTTTTGATTGCTCAGATTACAACTGTAAGAAGACTGAAGAGGAAGTGAGAGCAGAAACAATTTTGGAAAATACATGTTCTCAGAAAGAAGATGGATGCTGGCAAGTTGGTTTGCTTTGGAAAAAAGACAATCCTCACTTACCTGAAAGTCGATCTGTTGCTTGGCGAAGATTAAACTATGTCGATGAAAAAATGAAAGAAAATCCAAAACTTAGCGAACAATATCATAAACAGATATTAAGCTACGCTGAAAAGGACTACGCAGAGAAGCTGAGCCCAGAAAAAGCTAACAACAGAAGTGAGAAGACATGGTATCTCCCTCACTTTTCTGTGATCAACCCAAGGAAACCAGACAAGTTCCGGTTTGTGTTCGACGCGGCTTCGAAATCTCACGGCCAAAGCTTGAACAGTTATCTACTTCCTGGGCCAAATTTGTTTAACAGTTTAATTGGTATTCTATTTCAATTTAGAAAACACAAGATTGCATTTGCAGCAGACATAGAAGAAATGTTTCTGAGAATAAAAATAATTGCAAAAGATCAAGATGCACTACGCTTTCTCTGGAGAGGAGAAAATAGAAACCTTGAAGAATGGTGTATGACATCTATGATTTTTGGAGCGGTGTGTTCACCTACTAGTGCCATCTATGTCATGAGGAAAAATGCAGAAAAATATGGAAAAGAGAACCAAGAAGCTTTACATGCTATACAAGAGCAGTTTTACATGGATGACTATCTGGACAGCAGAGAAACTATTGACGAAGCAGAAACTTTGGTAAAAGATGTTGTAAATATCTGCCAGAAAGGAGGATTTAACTTGAGGAATGTCATCAGTAATTCAGAGGAACTAATTAGTTCACTGCCCAAGTCAAATGGTCAAGCAATTACTCGAATGAAGAAGTGGGATTAACAGCTGAAGATACAGAACGAGTTCTCGGACTGCACTGGAACTTTCGTGAAGATGTCCTTGTCTTTAAAGTGAACTTCATTAAAGTAAAGAATGAAATTGTACAATTAAAGGAGTCACCAACGAAGCGACAAGTTCTGCAGGCTGTGATGTCTATTTACGATCCATTGGGATTCATTACTCCAATTACGATGAAAGGAAAAATCCTTGTACAAACCTGTGGAAGTTAAACATTCAATGGGATGAAGTAATACCAGCCGAATTAGAGAAGTTGTGGGAAAACTGGATGGATGAAAGATGTAAAGAAGTCAGAAAACTTGAAAATACAACGTTGCTACAACCTAACTTCAAATTGCTCCTTGCAGCTACATATATTTTGTGATGCGAGTGAAAAAGGATTTTGTTCAGTGGCCTATTTCAGAGTGGGAAAAGGAGATCAAGTTGAGGCTACATTTGTACTGGCAAGATCACGTGTTACTCCCCTAAAGTCGTCCACCATCCCTAGACTTGAACTGCAAGCAGCTGTATTAGGCAGCCAAATTGCATCTTTGATCTATCAGTTTCACAAAATGGAAATAGACCAAACATACTTTTGGACGGACCCAAGAATTGTGTGGTGCTGGATTCAAGCAACTCAAAAGCAAAAGTCAGCCTACGTTGCTAATCGTGTTGATAAAATACTGAGCAACTCAGACAGAAATCAATGGAGGTGGTTACCTACGACAGAAAATGTAGCTGATGAAGCTACACGGGAATCATCAACTCCATTAACGAACGATTGCTGTTGGCTCCAAGGTCCAGCCTTCTTACTTAAAAAAGAAAAAGAATGGCCAAAAATTGAAAGCATTTCGAGAAAAGAAGACTGCAATGAAGTAGCCTTAGCAATTTTACCTGAAAACAAAGAAAATGTTATCGATATGGAGAGATTTTCAAAATACTCCAGACTCATAAGAGCAGTAGCATGGATGCAACGATTCATTTCCAATACGAGATGTAAATCTGAGAGAAATACACATGTGAGTCATGGTGTTGAAGAGCTTCAACGAGCTGAAGAAACCTGCTTCAGACTTTCACAACTAGAATCTTTTCCCAAAGAAATGAAGAATCTTGAGGAGAACAAGCCAGTTCCTCGAGAAAGTCGACTTCATAAGCTTAGCCCTATTTTGACAGGGAACTTATTGAAAATGAGAGGAAGGACTGAATATGGGAACCAAATCAGTCAAGACTTGAAAAATCCCATAATTTTAGATCCTAAACATCGACTTACAGTCCTATTGATCCAACATGAACATGAACAGGCAGCTCATCAAGGTCAAGAAACTGTGGCAAATAATTTGAGACAACGATTTTGGGTAATCCGTTTGAAGCGAGCAATTAAGAGCTGTTGGACAAATTGTAAGAAGTGTCAGCTGCGCAGAAACACACCTAAAAATCCTGAGATGGCTCCTCTTCCGGCAAACAGATTAGAACCTTATGGACGTCCATTCACCTGTGTGGCTGTGGATTATTTTGGGCCTCTGGAAGTCACTATAGGTCGCAGAAGAGAAAAGCGATATGGAGTGTTGTTCACATGTCTGTCAGTGCGAGCGGTACACTTGGAGATTGCAGCTTCTCTCAATACGGACTCGGCAATTCTTGCGATCAGGAGATTTGCAGCAAGAAGGAGTTGTCCTTCGGAATTGATATCAGACAATGGTACCAACTTTAAGGGCGCAGAGAACGAATTAAGAAAAGGACTTGAGTCGTTTGATAACGAACAAATTAAAACGTTCTGCGTGGGGAAGATGATGAAGTGGACTTTTCTACCACCGGCGAGCCCTCACATGGGTGGTGCGCATCAACGTCTTATACAATCGGTGAAGAAATGTTTAAGAGTGATTTTAAACACCCAAGCTCCTAAAGAAGAAACGTTGAATACTCTATTATGTGAAGTAGAATACATAATCAACAACAGGCCCTTATTTCCTGTATCAGACGACCCTAATGATGAGCTCCCTTTGACACCAAACCACTTTCTCCAGGGAGGAGCAGATAGAGTCACACCAGCTGTCGTTATAACGGAGAAGCACCTGCATAGACAATGGAAGATCGCACAGGACATGGCAGACAAATTCTGGAAACGTTGGCTGAAAGAATATGTGCCTTTACTAAACAAACGCTCCAAGTGGCACACAAAACAAGTAAATCTGCAAGTCGGTAACTTGGTCCTTATAACTGATGAAAACCAAGCTAGAGGACATTGGGCTAAGGGCAAGGTGGAGGCGATACACCCTGGGCGAGATGGCCAAGTTAGAGTAGCGGATGTTCGAACAGCCACCGGAGTCTGGAGGAGACCTGTAACCAAACTGGTGAAGCTGATGACCTGAGAAACCCCCCTGGGAGAAATGTTAGATAGTTTTTTATTATAGTATGTTATAGTGGGCTGAATGCAGATTTAATATGCATTGGAACAATGATTTGGTATAATTTAATAATTATATTGATCAGCTGGTTTATTGTTTTCAAAATAAATGTAATGAAAAGAACATGAGTTTTATTAGCTAAATAATCTTATCTATTAATTTTGAACATAAGTACCCTTTTTAAATTGATTTTTAATTAATAAACGACATGTTTCGACACTTAGGTCATAGTCATGTTTACATTTACAAATACAATAACAAAAATGATTAATGAAAGGAATAAATAGTCATATGTTAAGTTAACTTAGAATTTAGAGGATCTTGTCAAAGAAGATTTTCATATATACAAAAATTAAAAAAATACCCTCAAAATGTATTGAATACCATGAACATAAATAAAACAAATCCGATATTTGAAAAAATCCTACAGTTGCAATAAAACTAAAACATTATATAATATACACAAAATTAAACAAAGATTAAATCAAGATCCTCTAAATTCTAAGTTAACTTAACATATGACTATTTATTCCTTTCATTAATCAATTTTGTTATTGTATTTGTAAATGTAAACATGACTATGACCTAAGTGTCGAAACATGTCGTTTATTAATTAAAAATGAATTTAAAAAGGGTACTTATGTTTTTATAATGTTTTCAATTATATATATATATATATATATATAAATATATTTATATATATATATAAATATATTTATATATAAATATATATATATATATGAATTTGAACGGATGATGTTTTTGGCCTCTAGGGACCTCGAAACGAAAAAAGAATCGGTCCCGCGTCCAGGTCTTACCATGAGTACTACGGTAATAGCTTATTCCCTATATGGGAAATTCGCTAAAATGCTACTTTGTTCAAAGAATCAATTAATTGTAACAACTATGATGATTATCTACAGATATTAGTTATACATCTAACATCACTGGTTGGTTTTCTTTTGGATGTAATTTAAAAATCTTATATCCATCTATTTACGTTTATCTTTATACTAGTATGTATATTTTGTTAGAAATCCACATGTCTTTTAGTTTCAGACATTGCCATTGTATGAGGTCAGAATATAGACAATGTTTACTTACATACAAACCTTATGGTTTAAGTAATGTCACAGTAAAATCATGTTAGAACATATGGACTAAATTTTATTATTAGATTTACTTTTATGCTGGTTCCCCCTTTCAGAGCTTTACTAAAATGTGTTTCAAACTATTTTGAAATGAAAGTTGATTTACAAATTTTTGGATTTTTTTTTTCAAAATTAGACCTTTTTCTACAAGAGCTAAGAACTGTGTCCATTTCAAGTTCTTGCTTACATAATTTTTAAAGAATTTATAACCATTTTCATTACCACAACTTGTGACAATAAGTTTATGAAGACACTTCCCACACCCAAACTTGCGCTTCACCTTGGAGTGGGTCAGGTATTACTTTCCCATCATCATATCCTCCATACTTACCTTACCTTCCCTATTCAACCTATCAAACCTAAAGCATCCTAAAGTTTCTGGCCTTGCAACAGCTTTGAAAGATTTGAAATATGTTAAAGCATTAAGAAATAAATAATCTTGGTTGCCCAGCAAATATCAGCTATGAAAGGAGAGAGAGGTGTACATTTTTTATAGCCAAAGATTAGAATACCGATGTTACAAAATTGATAATGCCCTCAATCATACAATAATATAGATATCAACACTTTATCTTTGTCCCAAACTTAATTGTTCATGACAATCTCTCAACTGAGTAGTGCACTAATATAGTAAGTACTGTACAAGAAAGCAGAACAGTAATGTGTATGTGAATGCCAGAATGAGGTGAGTTTACAGAAGGTGGTCGTGCAATGTAATGCATATGTCATGTGTTTGTTGTAAAGCAGCATTAACATTACCAATTCAGTTCGCCACAAAGCAATATAATAAGTAATCAGTTTTGCGCTGTGTTGGGCAGACTTTGAGCATCGAATTTATCATTTCATTCTAAGAAAACAAGTTAACTGTAAACAAAGTTTTCAAGTGAAAATATGTAAGAAAGACATAAACAGAGCTAATGTTTATGGCTACAAAGATATTGGCACAAGTGCAAACAGCAGTAACCATAAACCATAAAAACCATAAAAACAATAGTGTTAGGAATAAATTTGTGAACATTATTTTGAGCAAAGATTAAAATGGGTCCTCCCAATTGGACAAACCTATAGATAGAATCTTAGATGAATCTCTATGAATCTTAGATAGATAGAGTCTTAACATCTGGGTAGATAGAACGCATAGATAAAACACAGTCCCTTAGTAGATTTCCCATCCTTGTGGAACAGCTGAAACCAATTTTATTGTTAGTTCTGCCCGGTTTTCTGTAGATGTCATGTTTTGTTTACAACTTATTTCTTGTTATTTCAGTAATTTAAAGCCTCGTTTAACCAAATAAAACTATCTAATCATAAACAATAACTCGTCCACAAGCTATATAACCAAACAGTGAGACATAAATAATGATAAACTAACCCTAAAATAATAGAAACAAATTGTAAACAAAACACGACATCTACAGAAAACCGGACAGAACTAACAATAAAATTGGCTTCAGCTGTTCCATAAGGATGGGAAATCTACTAAGGGACTGTGTTTTATCTATGATAATAGTCAACGTTCTGTGCAGTGCAAGTGCCAATTATTGTGTTGTGTTTAGAGGTGTTGTTAAATAACTGAAAAGGATTGTGTTTAAACAAGCACAAGGTTTAAACATAATCAAAATACCTGATTTTTTATGGTAAACTATTGTTTTATTTATTTAAATCACCGCAATAGGCGCAATTAGATAGATCAATAGAGCTTTTAACAATCTCGGATAGTTCATTCTTCAACAGTTGGTGTAAAGTTTGGTTGTCATGTCGATATACCCATCCATTTTTGCTTGGCACAAAGTCATAACGTTTAGGGCCACTGACAGGTGAACTCAGCCAGATTTGTTTATTTGGTGATTGGCGGTTGATAACATATATTCCATATGTATCTAAGTTGACAGTAAGGACTCCATCCTAAAACAGATGCTCAAAGTTTGTTACCATGGTATTCATAAACAACTATTGATAAAAAACAATGTATTCTCTTATTAGTTAGGCTACTGTAAATCTTTTTTTATCATCCGTTTTTATAATATATTGGATTAACCGTATTTTTCATTGCCCCTCCCCCCCCCCCCCCCCTATTAACTCAGGAACTCGAGTATCTACATAATAGTGTAAAGTATTGTAGCCTATGCTACTTGATTGTATTTTAACGAGCTTTATGTCAACAAAGCGTTCTGTCACAGACAATATAATACTTTAATGCAGACGGTCAGCTGGATCTGCGCTAGGCGCTGTTTCATGATGCGGCTGTATTGCCGCGCCACCGTAGCGGAAGACGCGAAGCGTTTCCTCCTCAGCTGGCGCCGTGGGATTCTATTTGAATTTGAATGAACGGGCTTTGAATGAGATATTTCTCGAAATCTATTTAAGATATGTTTATGAAACTTGGTATACAGTTTTAATACGTTATAATGTATTTAAGGAAAAATAATCATTGAAAAATATGTTTCTGTTTCAAAATATGGGTATTTTAAACTTAATTTCTTTAATTACAAAATACCCCCGCCGCAGCAAACCTGCAGACTAAGCAAATTTCAACTTGTCTGATTACATTTTTACTAAAATATCTCCATAAATAAGACATATTTATTCCCTATTTAAATAACATTAGGGATTTAACGAGTGCTTAGGTTTGCTGCTACGGGGAAGGTAAAAAGTGTTTGTTGACCATACGTCAATAGTATAGGATGAAATAAATAAATTTGCCAAATTTTATCAATATATGTCCATAAACAAGTAAACTACAACAATTTTCATTTTCTCCATAAGAATAACATGGGAATTTTAAATTACACTATTTTTGAATTTTCTCCGTGACCGTTAGGCATACAACAGCGCTTCAATATATTAAATTATTTCTTTTTTTAAGCTCTACAAAACTGTTTGAAAAGAAATTGCTAAATTTTTTGTTTTTAGGGTCAAAAACGGGAAAACCCCATTTTTACCCCATAAACCCCCGATCCCATGGTCCGATTATGCTGGATCGCGAACTAGTTCAAATAAACGTAGGTTTACACGTTTGTACCAAATTTCATCAAAATCGGATCATTTTTGCTCGAATTATCGCGCTAACGGACACATATATATAATTGAACATTCCAATGACAAAGAAAAATTACGAGAAAGAATTAAACAAAATTAAATACTTAGCATCAAGGAATGGATATAAGCAAAACATTATCTACAATATGATTAGAAACATCAAAAGAAAGAAAAATCAAAACCAAGAACACAACAAAGAAAGAAAGAAGAAAGAGAAATTCATTAGTATCCCATTCAATACAACTCTTAACAGGATTACAAGAAAAACTTTTCAAAATTCTGAATACAAAATTGGCTTTAAAACAAAAAATAACGCTTTCAATATGATAACAAATAACATTAATACAAATAAAGAATATCAAGACATCTATGACAAATCTGGCATTTACAAAATTAACTGCACTGATTGTGAACACTTCTACATTGGTCAGACAGGACGCTCTTTTAAATCTAGATTCAAAGAGCACATTCAAGCTCTTAAGAGTAACAACAGAACATCCATGAAATCAAACTTTGCTGAACACCTTTTATCGACCAACCACAATTTTAAACAAATTTAAAAAACAACATGAAAATTCTAAAAGTTTTAAACAAAGGAAATCGAATGGATTCAACTGAAGAATATTTCATATACGAAGAAAATCTAAAAAATCCAAATCATATTTTAAATAGCCAAATTCCTTCAAGAAACCCAATCTTTGACCAAATTTTAAAATTAAATAATCAGTAACAAAAATGTTTTTCCAAATCCTGTCTAGTTCTATAAATCATCTGTATATATAAATTATATTTATTTACAAACAAACAATATAAACAACAGTTAAGTGTTTAATGTATTTTGAAGTTTGAAAATGGACTAATGTCCGAAACATGTCACTTCTTTTTATAAAATATAATATTCAGGGTGCTCCAGTTGTACTTATTTACTTAAATATTTAATATATATATAAATATATATATATATATATATATATATACAGAGGGGTGCAAAAGTAAATACAGTACGAACAGGCAAACAGTTTGAACACACGGGGAAGTGAGTGTTTTTGTCAAGTACAACATTTTTAGAGTTAATTTAGGTGTCGTAATACTCTTAAAATAAATTAGAAAAGTTTGGTTTTTGTATGAATAAATATATTTTTTCTATAAACAGTTTCCTTACTGTATACCTACTTTTGAACACCTCTGTATATGAATTTGAACGGATGGTGTTTTTGGCCTCTAGGGACCTCAAAATGAAAAACTTAATCGGTCCCGGGTCCAGGTCTTACCATGAGTACTACACGGTAATAGCTTATTCCCTATATGGGAAATTCGCTAAAACATGCTGATTTTATGAAAAAAAACCATGGACACTTTTATTTAGCATTTAAAATACCCTATCAAACGCCACCAAGTTTTAAACGATCCCATTACAAACTGCTGAGAAATGAGGATATTTAGTTAAACCTGTTTCATAATAAACACCGCACTACAAGACTACAAGTTAGAAGTTGTAACTTGTAAATTTCCATTATATTTGCAATTTTGAGGTGTGGAAAAGTGTCAACAGGTCTGGACTTTGGAAGTGTTCGTGGTAACTGTTATTTGTACCCATATAAAATAATGTTAAATTTGTTTCTACTTTTTGATTTTTTTATGTTGTAATATTGTTCATAATCAAAAGTTGACACCAACTAGTGTGCCAGAATTTCAACCGTTTTGCCGTATCTCAAGCCGTTTTCGAGATATAAGGGTTTTTAAACAGTTTTATGGACTTTATGAAATTTTGAGGTGTGGAAAAGTGTCAACAAGTCTGGACTTTGAAAATTTTTGTGGTAACTGTTATTTGTACCCATATAAAATAATGTTAAAATTTCTTTGACAGACGGACAGAAATTTAGAAGACTCGTTTCGGCTGTTTTAGGCTATGAAACGTAAATATAACCAAAAACTGCATGATTCTACGCAATGTACAGACAAAACTGTAATTTTATTTATATAGATTATAAAAAATTTAAATTGTTTTGACTTAAATCTTCTGAATTCCTATTCATGGAAACAAAGCATCTTGGAAAGTTTAGCTAAAATATGTTAAGCCATTTTTGTTGTAATGTCTAACTTACATATTCATCTTGCCTGCCTAATTTGTTTATGACATATGGTTAATGTTATACTATTGTATTGTTATGAGTTTGTTTATAGTTGACCTGTTTACATTCAGTTGTTATATTTTGCATTCTATCTTATTTCCAATTAAATTAGTTTCATGTTAACTAACTGTCTAAATCATTTGATATAATCAGGGTAATTAACCGCTGCAGCTCAACTCTGCTATTTCACCAACATCAGGTTATGGGCCTCCTGTTTGCTAAATTTTAATTTCTCTGATTATTTTGTCCAAGTTCACCAACTTTGAAAATGTATCAACCTCCTTCAATAGAGAAATTGAAAGGCCGTGAAAACTATGATACATAGAAAGTTGCCGTTCAAGCATATTTGGAAGATTGTGAGCTCTGGGACTGTATTTTGGGAACTGAAGAAGATAGAAAGAAAGTGACAAAATGTAAATCCAAAGTCATCTTGCTAATTGATTCAGTTAACTATGTCCATGTTCAATCAGCAGAAACAGCCAAGGAAGCCTGGGAAAATTTAGAAAAGGCATTTTCTGACAGGGGTTTGACCCGAAGAGTTGGTTTGCTGCGATTGTTAACAACAACAAGGCTAGAAAATTGTAAGTCCATAGAAGATTATGTTAATCAAATCGTGTCAACGGCCCACAAGCTAACTAACATTGATCTGAAAGTGGATGATGAGTGGGTATAATTTTACTTGCTTGGGTATAATTTTGGACTATCGGATCAATTCCAACCAATGATCATGGGTATTGAAAGTTCTGGTGTCAAGATAACAGCTGATTCAATCAAAACTAAACTACTTCAAGATGTATCCGTGGAAAATTAATCTTCCAAATGCATTGAGATGTACGGTTATGGTCGAAGAGAAAATTTAAGATCAAATTTCCAGAACAGCCACAGACACAACACTTCATGTAAGAAGAAACCCACCGAAGACAAGAAACGGCAAGATAGCAAAGATTGTAAGGGTCCTTGATGTTTCCAATGCAATCGTTACGGTCACATATCATAGATCTGTGACAAATCCAGGAACATCAGCATCAGAAATGAAAGAGACAGTTGTAAGTCTAAACAGGACAATTCACTCTTTGCTGCCTTCTCAATGCAAACATATGTAAGCATCGATCTCTATTATTACTACAGCTGGATCGCGCGCAGTGTTTTGGGTTTTCGGTCCGACCGCTCGCCGCTTCCCCCACCACTTAGTGTTGTTACTGTCTCTCTCTTACTAATTACGTCTTATGGCGTTTCCGCGTTTGCGCTCACAAAATACGCTATATCTCTGTTCATAGTGGCTCGAGGTCCGACCGCTCGCCGCTTCCCCCACCACTTAGTGTTGTTACTGTCTCTCTCTTACTAATTACGTCTTATGGCGTTTCCGCGTTTGCCCACACAAAATACGCTATATCTCTGTTCATAGTGGCTCGATTGTCAATTTGTTTACTCAGTTGTAATCTGCATGAAATTGCGGAGATTATGGTATATGTTTTATATTAAAATAACTCTTTTTTTAGATCATATTAATTCCTAAATCTACTAAATACGGTTTGCTATTGCCACTTTTTGAATTAATTATAAAACTGTTATCACATCTAATGTTTAATTAACTTCATTTAGCATACACACTCATGTTTTTAAAGTTTAATCTTATTAGCGAATTTCTCGAAGTAGCTATTACCGTAGGTCTCATGGTAAGACCTAGGCCTGGGACCGATTTACTTTTTCATTTTGATGTCCCCAGAGGCCAAA